GCTGACCAGCTTCTTGATCAGACTGATGTTGAGAAGGAGAGAAAGGACAGCTGAGAGGAGGATGGTATCATTCACAGAAATAGGAAAAACAGAAGGAAGAACAGATTTTGAGGGGGAAGATGATGAGCACGGTTTTGGACATGCTGAGTTTGAAAGCACATGGGAAATTCAACCAGTATTATTTAGTAGGCAGGCACAGCAACAGGAGCTCACCAGGGAGCTCTAAGTAAAGTTGAAACCAGGCTGACTGAGCTTCTCCAAAGAGAACCACATGTGCACTGAGGAGAGACGTGGCCAGGGTCAGGATGCTGGGGAGCACCCACAATTAAATAATGGACTAACAGAGCAGAGTTCATCCAGGAAACCAAGAATAAACACACTGCAAAGGAGGAGAGAGTGCACAAGAGGAGGCGGTGCTGCAGCCTGTGGTTAAGAGCAGGAGCTTTGTGGCTAAAGCTGGTGTGGTGCTCGCCAAATCCCTCTCTCCCTGAGTACACAAGTCAGCTCCATTTTCCAGCCTCATTGCATCTGGGTGGAGCCAGTGACTAGGTAATCACTGAGTGTGAGACAAGGTCACCTGCAATTAAGAGCAGATACAATCTTCCTCTAGCTTTTTTCTTCTCCATCTGTGGTCCCTTTGCAGGTCACATGTAAAAGGACCCTGGGAAGGATCGCACTCAGACTTTGAGTTTCATCTGTTACCCCAACACGGCCTAGCTTACCTTTCCTGACCCTGACTTTGGAGTCAGACAGCTACATTTGAATACTGGCTTTACTGCTTGAATCCTGGCTCTACCTCTTTCCAGCTGTGTGGCCTTAAATAAACTGCTTAATTGCTCTGTGCCTCAGTTTCTCTCAGTAAAATTAAGATAATAACATCTATCACAGACAGTTTTCTGATATAAAATGAGGCAATAAATGTGAAGCATTCAGAACAGCGTTGAAAACTCTAGAAAAGTTAGGCAATAACAGCAAGGAGAATGTCAAGAATGGGAACATGGTTTATGCTAGGGAGCAGCAAACCATGAACTGCAGGTCACTTCCACCCTGCTGCCTGTTTTTGCTCAGCCTCTCAGCTAAGATGGGTTTGACATTTTTAAATGGTTGAAATAAATCAGGTGAAAAAGAGATAGAATTCAAGTTTCAGTATCCAGAAATAGCATTACTGGAACACAGCCGTACTTATTTATTCTCATTTTGCAATGGGGACTTTTGCACAACAATGGCAGAATATGAATACTCTGCAACAGGGACCATACTGCCCATGAAACCTAAAATATTTACTGCTTGATCGTTTTAGTGACCCCTGGCTTACAGTGTCAAATGCAGCAAAGGTGTCAAGAAAGATAATTAAAAGTGTTAACAGGAATTGGCACTAGATTACCAGTGACCTTGATGATGGCTTTATTAGAGTGAGCAGAAACTAGGTGTCAGGTAGATCAAAGTATGATTCCCTTATCTGCAGTTTGCTAGCTCTGTGTTCTTGGGAAGTCACTTAATTTCCATGAACCTCCATGAGCCAGTTATAAATAGTGGAGGAATAGAGCTACTATTTCTTTTTCAAGAAAGATTTAAATTTATTATCATTATCATTATTATTTTACTCTCCAGAGAGAGACAGGGAGAGAGAGGGAAGGTGAGAAAGCAAGCCACCAGGTCTGAGACTCAAACCATGGTCAGCCATGTAGGAGCTCAGCACTTTAACCACTGTACCACTTGCTGGTCCCAGAGCTACCTTCTTGAGTTATTGGAGGGACTAATAATAATGCATACACAACATAAAACACCATGTCTGGTTTATGTCATGTGCCCAGTAAATGCAAGTCTTGCTTCATTTAGTCTGCTGTCATGAAGCATTCGAAATAGCATCAAAAACTCTACAAAAGTTACAAGATAACGGCAAGGAGAATGTCAAGAAAGGGAACATGGTTTATCCAAACTTACTATTCGAATAGCATCAAAAACTCTACAAAAGTTAGAAGATACCGGCAAGGAGAATGTCAAGGAAGGGAACATGGTTTATCCAAACTTACTATTCCTTTAGAGGTAATGCCTTTGTACTTTTAATATTTTATTTTTGTCTTCCGTGTTCTGCTGTTTTACATTATATGTTAAGTCTTTGCCCAAATCACACCTCTTTAATGAGGCCAGCCCATTTAATACTGGCCACCCTGTTTAATATTGTAATATGTCTGCTTCTCAGTACTTCTAATCACCTTACCCAGCTCTACTTTTCCTTTTCTCATAGAGCTCTGGCCATTTAGAGAATTTACGTATTCATTGTGTTTATTATTCAGTATCTGCCTTCCCTACTGGGATACTAACTCCATGTGGCAAGAGTCCTTGCCTGTTCTGTACAATTAAATATTCCAAATATCTACGTAAAACCCGGCACACAGTAGGTGCTTAATTAATATTTGTTAAATAACAAAATGAAAAAATAATAAGTGGGGATTTCATTTTATTCTGCTTGGTCTGGATGTGCTCCTTAAATCCAGATGCTTGTTTTTCATCATTTCTCTGAAAATACTCAACTATTCTCTGTTATATTACAACCTCTCCTTCACCACCTCCCTTCTCTCCTTTAGAATTCCTTTCAGAATATTTCAGTCATTCCATCCTTAATGTTTCCTATGTTCTTTCTCATGGTTGACAACTCTCAAGGCCAATCTCTGTTTTATCCTAAGACAATTAATTAATTTTCTGTTCTATCATTGTATCTCTTTTTAAGTCTCTAGTCTACTATTCAACCTATTAGTTGAATTTTTATTTCAATGACAATTTTTTTTTTTTGAGAGGTTTTCACTGTAGGGCGCGTGCACTTGCCAGACAGACAGAGACAGACAGAGAGACAGAAAGCGAGAAATCACCCCCTGGGGGGGATGGTCACGCTGTAATCCCTTCTCCTCCATTCTCCTCTCGGGATCTTGGGTACGCATGCACATGCGCCTGGCGTGAGTTTTAAGCCATCGGGTCTGGGACGCGAACCGCAGTCGACTATGTGGAAGTCCAGTGACATAGTCATTACGCTAACTGCTGATTCCCCTCAATGACAATTTTTTGAGCTTATTTTTTTCCCCTTTCCTTTCTTCTTCTTTTCTACTCTTTCCTACACTTGTTTCATGGTTCCTAATCTTCCCTTTATTTATTTGGCTATTCTAAATATTCTTATATTAAAATTTCATTCAAATTGTTCTGTTATTTGTAGTTCTTGGGGCTGTGAAGCTTTTTGTTTGTTTAATCAGCTGTCTTTCTTGCTATGGCTCATTTCTCTCTGCAGTCTGTAATGTTAGATCATAAGTACTATTTGGAATTTTCCTATGCTGGGGCCTGAAGGATCCAAAAATGTATTACTGAATGGCCTGTCCTAAGAGGCAAGCTAGGGAGGCAGTATATTATGAGTATGTGCCTTAAGTTCGCATTCCACATGGAACTACCTGTGTAACCTCGCACAAATACTTTCCACTTTACTTTTCTTATCTGTGAATTGAAGATAATGATACTTCTTGCTTCCAGGAGCTATTGTAAAGAATTAGTAGGACTGAGACCAGCAGATGGCATAACGGTTACATCACTAGACTCCCACATAGTCGACCACGGTTTGAGTCCCAGACCCAGCGGCTTAAAACTCTTGCTGGATGCATGTGCGTGTATGCCCAAGATCCGGAGAGGAGAACAGAGAAGAAGGGATTGAGGTGTGGCCATCCCCTCTGAGGCATTATTTCTTGCTTTCTGTCTCTCTGGCAAGTGCATGTGCCCCTTAGCAAAAATCTCTCTTTAAAAAAAAATTATTGTTTAGTGGGACAACCAATATTAAGGGACAATGTTTTGCATGTAATAAATGCCTAATAAATGTTAAAAATTACTAATATAAACATGGTAGTTATGATAGCACTTGTCAATATCTTCTCCTTGGTTTCTGATATAGGAAAAAATTTGGTGCTCATGAAAATAGCTTCTGAATCTTTATATGTAATGTACAGTCAATCAGTAACTATAATACTAGTTGATTTGTTTGCTTTATTTATGATATATATTAGTTGAAGATGGGACCCCCCTCCCTGCTAGAACTTGTTCACTTGGCTTTCAGCCATTGCTGAGGAGCACTAATGGGAGGAAGAAGGATGTTTCAGACATTATCTTTCGTTAAAAATAAAGCCTAATTAGGGAGTTAGATCATTTGTGAACTATTTTGGATCATTAAAATATACAGTAGGGAGAGTTCTACTGCTGAGAAGAAAATGACCCAGATAAATTTCTTTGGCTTTAGTCAAAGAAAAAATATATTTAACTTCTTGGCTATGTTCTTCTTAGCCATTATTCTCTTTCAAAGGTTAGAAACAGAATAGCAAAATCCTGGACCTCGAGCTGAAGCACGGTAAATATTATTTGTTTCTTGGTGGCAGGGGACTGAGACACAAGCCAACTTATGGGCAGGAGAACTTCATTTCTTCTGTTTCATTTTTTTAAATTAATTTTTATTTTGCTGGTGCATGTGTGCTCACTGGAGACAAGAAGAGAAAGAAGGAAAGTGAGAAACACTCTCTACGGGGACCATGGGAATGGTGACACTGCAATCCTTTTTTCTCCATTTTTACCTCATTTTGGGTACACATACACATATGCCTGGCTTTTTTCTTTAGCTACTAGGTCCTAGACTCGAACCATACAGTCACCATGGGGGATCCAGCTTTATTCACCATACCATGAGCTGGCCCAAGAGAACCTCATTTCTATCTCTCATAACTTTTGAACACAATCTTTTCCTTAATTAACTGCTGTTTTCCAACTGTGGCTAAGGGAAGACGAAAGAGCTAAACTTTGTGAATGAAATCCCCCTGATGAATTTTCAGGCTACTATGACTTATCATGGAGCATGGTATCAGTTATCTGTCAAGATTTCACAAAACGAAGATTTACAATCGCAACTTTCATAAGAATCTACACAGGCTAAAGTTTGCGAAGATCTATATAGATAAATATTTTTAGATTTTAATTACCTGGTCTTCATAATCAGATCCTGTATCAATGATCTCTCCAGTGTCCAACATCATTGAAGGATCAAGGTCACTTGAACCTAAGGTTAAGAAAGAAAATATGAGCTGATGGAGGCTGTCTATGTAATGCTTTTAAAGCAAACAATCTCCCACTAGGTTTCCATAGTGTCTTATGGTTACATCAGATTTACAGACATTTCCAGACTCTTCCCATCTGAACACTTTCTCTGCCATTAAGAAGACGACAATACTGTGGGGGAGAATAATTGTCAACGACAGTATTTAGAAACCAAAAAGAACAAGCTACTAGTTCAGACTAGTAGTTAAAGTGATAGTGGAGTCAGGATTCTTCACATAGAACTAATCTGTGAGCCCGAACTTTGAGGATATGAATATGAACTGCGTCATCTGGCAAGAGATGCAGTTTCAGGTGTGCAATGGTAGAAGGACACATGAGTGAAGTACAAGGGAAGACAGGGGCTTCTAGAAATAAGAAAGGCTAAGTTTGCTGACTCTGAAAACCTGAATTGTTTTGTCTCAAGCTTTTGGGTTACCTTAGTCCCTAAAGATGAGAAAAATCAGGTTAATATAATGTATTATAGAGAGATTGTTTCTCCTAAGTACTACAAGTTACATTAAATGCTTACCCATGAATCCCCAAGGTTCATACTTAAACTGGTAATTTTCATGATGGGTAACCTGAAGCACAATTGATTCTTCATTCTCATTTAATGACTCTTTTCTGCTGGTAAATATGTATCACCTAACTAGGCTGAAAGACGGTATTCAGTGCTGCTGATAAAATGTTATATATCCTGTGAAAAAACAAATCACCCCATGTTTTATTGTAAATTTAGACTTGCCAAATAATTACTGACCAGACTATGCAATGACTAATGTTTAATAAAGATGAATGTTTCTTTTCTTTTTTCTTTTTTTTTTTAAGAGAGAGAGAGTGAGAGATCACCCCTATGGGGATGGCAATGCCTATCTCCTGCATTCTCCTCCTGGGATTTTGGGCACGCACATACACACATGCCTGGTGTGATTTTCAAGTTGCTGTGTCTGGGACTTGAACCGCAGTTAGACATGTGGGAATTTTTTTAGTGGGATTACAGAACTAGTAAGAAGAGCTGCCTATTGGATGCTGACACCACTCTAGCCTTCACCTGTCCAGGAGCAGAGGGCAAATAGGGCCACACAGACCCTACTGCACCATTGGAAGCCTCCTGCCAGCTAAGGTGTGGGAGGAGCAGCTCCTTGGCCTGCACACATGCATGGGACAGAACACGATTTCACACACCATCACCCAATCTAGCTTCTCTGCCCAGTCATCAGTTACAGAGACCATAAAGTTTGGGCATACAAGCCAGAACGTCTGAACACATCTCTTCCCATGCTGACTCCAGCAAAAAAGCACAGAAATTTTTATGTGCAAATTAGAGAGAAGAGAATTCATTACTAAATTTCTAGCAATCAAAGCAGAGCCTCAAGAAACATGAAAAAAGCAGGAAATGTCCCCCTGCAAAGGAACATAATAATTCCCCATCAATAATGGACAAAACCACAAGAAATCACAGAAATGTCAGAAAAAGAATTCAGAAACAATAATCGTAACTAAACTCAATGAGATCAAAGAGAAAACAGACAACCAATTTCAGGAGATGAGAACATCATTTCATGACTTAAGTGAGGAACTTCATAAAGAGATAGATATCCTGAAAAAGAATCTAATGAACTTCTGGAATTAAAGAATACAATCCAGGAAATCAAAACCTCCCTTGAAATGATTAACAACAGATTAGACCATGCAGAAGAAAGAATCTCTGATCTTGAAGACAAACTTTCTGACTTAGTCCAAGTGACCAAAAAGAATGTAAGACTATCCACTAAAAATGAGGACAACATATGGAAAATCCTTGTCACTATTAAATGTCTGCATATTTGCATTATGAGTATTCCAGAAGGTGAAGAGATGGGTAAAGTCTCAGAAAATCTCTTTCATAATGTATTAGCTGAAAATTTTCCAAACTTGGAGAGGCATAGAGACATCCAAATTCAGGAAATAAAAAGAACACCACATTGATATAACGTAAGATCCTCTCCAAGACACATCATAACCAACCTGATAAAAATAAGAAACAAAGACAATATTGTAAAAATGACAAGAGAGAAATGCCAGGCTATTTACAAAGTAAGTAACTCATAGACCTCTCAACTGAAAAGATGTAGGCAAGGAAAAAAGTGATGGTATTTTTCAAATAAAGCATTTTGTAAAGGGGCCAGATGGTGGCACAGTAGTAACATAACTGCATCCACAAGGGAAGGTCCTGGGTTAGCATCCTGGGGCCTTCTTGCCCACAGTAGGTGCATGTATGCCTATGATCCATGGTGGCTGAGGCGGAGGGTAGATAAGAGTGTACAGACTTTGTTGCGGGTATCTCTCTCAACGTCTTTGTCTCAAAGAAATAAGTAAATAAGTTTGGGGGGAAGAAGCATTTTTAAGGTGTATCTTGAAGCCCAAATACTTGATTTTCTTAAAGCCCAGTTTGAAGGTCACTTTGTACGTATGATGTGAGACAGCAAAAATGTCAGAAGTAAACTATATGTTTTTCCTTTGTGTGATCACAGACATATTAGAATCAGACTTTCACAGAATTCACCCCCTTATTTTAGAAAAGAGGAAAATGAGATGCAGAGATGTTAAATAACTCGGTCAAGGTTATGCAAGTGCATGAGATCAAAGACAGCACCCGAAGCTCCTAACACACCCTGCTGACTCCAGATTCTAAGCAGAAGCAATCCAAAGGCTTTACAAATATTATCTTTCACTACAGTACTTTATAGAAGAGGAATTGGAGGAGTATACTGCCTATTCTGGCTTCCGAGAAAATGAGGAACAGTGAACAGTTGCTGATGAGGCGGATTGCAGTGACTGAGGTAATGGAAGACTCAGAAGTGGAATTAGGGAGTGTCGTTCAAGCTGACAAAAAGCAATGCTCCTTTCTAGGCGACTGTCCTTAACGGCATCATTAAAGGCAACACGATGTTATTTAGCTTTTACTACTTCCACAAAACGGGTATTATCCACCACTCGGTAGTGGAAGTGGCGATAGGTACGTACTTGGATTCAAAGGATGCCCTCACCTCAGCTGTGTTTAGCGCGATGCATGTGGCGCAAGCAACGTGCTCTGAACTCCAAATCTTATTAAACATAAAACTGCGTTTAGTTTCTGTGTCCTACTTATTTTAATTAGAAACTATTCTTTTGTTCTTTTTTTAAAAATGTGCAATGTGAAGTGCTCTTAACCCAGTTAACAAATATTACACATTAATATTTGAAACTAGAACAAGGTAGAACCTTTAGTAATGGTAGAATAAATTAAAAAAATGTATGCTTATAATAAAGAGACTGGCTTTCCTAATAAGATGTTTTTAACAGAAATTTTATTGTATCATTAAAGGATGGAATTTCTTGACACATGTTGCCCATGGCAACAGTATTAATATATCATAGGAGGCAATAGACAAAGGATATCATTATCAGCTCAGATAATGATTGAATAGCTCTCATTTTCTTTTAGCGTTGGTTGCTTGGTTTGCTGAAAATGGGAACTTTAATAATAGTTCAAGATTCGACAAACAAAATAGAGAGGGAAATATAGACATACATATTTTTGTCTTCTTTTGTTGGGCAATTTAATGTATAATCAACTGCAATGGTGCTCAAAAAAGACAGCAAGATTAGGACGTATTGAAAAAGTATAAATATGGCTTTCATTTCTCCCTATTTTGAATTTCTCAATTTCTTTTCGGAGTTAAAATATCCTCTCTTTAGATAACAGGGAAAGGTATGAGCTGAAATACAGAATCCCACAGAGAGTACTCAGTGTCACTAGTTTTAGATGTAGAATTGTCTTTGGAAATATTATTTGCACTTAAATTTAAGTGGGAAGATGATACTAATTTGCTGCAAAAGCATCAGAGGCTGGCTAACCATATTGCTTTCTGAGACAATGTAAAGGATGTTCTTTTCCTAGTGGATTTTGGAGTTAAAAGTTTAAGGAAGATCCTTCTCCCACACTGAAGATGCTCTTGCAATTACAGGACTTCTTGAGCAGTGAAGGGTGTCTGTAAAATTCTTCCTACCCTTTATTTGCTCCTTCTAAGGAAAGTACTCTTCCTAAACTGGAAGCTACCTAGAGGGGTATGTCTCATCTCTGAATCTAAGAACAACATGTAGAAATTAAATGCACTCAATGCATATTTGCTGAATGACTGAAAATGAACAAAAGGATATTTCCTTTGTTCCTTTTCAGATCATCACCGTGTACAAACGTTAAATGCCCTCTTTAAGTGCCCAACCTGCATTAGGCACTGAGAACCCAGCTCTAATTCCATCTCATACGGAACGGTGTTGGTAACAGTTTGCATCAGAATTCCTTTGAGGAAGAGCACCGTGTTATTTGGGAAATAAACAGCAACTGGGAGTAGAAGGTAAGCTTCAGGAGGGATCTGGGTGTTGGTGGACTGTTCTGGTGAGAAGGATTAGTGGGGATTTGTCAGATACTCCAGGACAGAGTAAGGACAGAAAGAAAGAAGAGTATTAGTAGAGGAATGAAAAGGGTAAAGGTTGTTTTGCTTAAGAGCAAAGATACTAATTCAGATATATCCTTTTTGATTTGACAGTCACATGCTTTACATACATAAATCATTTCCCTTCACAACAGTATTATGAGGTAGGTGCTATTCTTATTCTTTATAGATAGGGACATGGAGGCCCAAAGAGATTGAGTGACATAGCCAGAAGGCTCTGGCAGAAGTATTCATGGAGGGCTCACAGAGGATGAGACATCGTAGATAAAGCTTGAAGGGTGCAGAGTCCAGAGGAATGGCAGTCTATGAGCAGAGGCTCAGAGACAAGCAAATGCACACTGCTCTGGAGCTAAAGGTTTGTGGTCATGTGATTAGATGAGAGGCTCCACCACTCATCTAATGGCCAGCTGGAAATAAAGGCCTTACGTGTCATCTCTATTGAAGTTACACTGGACATCCGACAAACCAACACAAAGGAACACATACTTCGGTCCTCATGAAGTCTTGTAGTATAATTAGGGAAGTAGTTTTTTTATTTTTTTTGTGAAGAGGTTTTTGCCTTAGGGTATGTGTACTTGCTGGAGAGAGAGACACACACAGAGACAGTGTGGAGAAAGGGAGAGGGAAAGTGAGAAATCACCCCCCCAGGGGGGATGGCCACACCACAATTCCGTATCCTCCATACTCTTTTCAGGATCTTGGGGACACATGCACATGTGCCTGGTGTGGTTTTAAAGCCACTGGTTTGGGACTCAAACTGCAGTCAGTCATGTGGGAGTCCAGTAACATAAATACTACGCCATCTGCTGGCCTCAGGGAATGATTTTTAACAATCATACTAATTGTAGTGTCAAAATTGTGATTTACATATCCTGAAGGAAAAGTACAAGGTACTCTATACAAGTACTCTGTACTCTAACCCATTCTGGGATAGAGTCTGAGCAAGCTTTTCTTTTTTTTTTTTTTTTTTTTTTGGAGAGGTTTTTGCTATAGGGCATGCACACTCACCAGAAAGACAGAGAGAGAAAGAGAGACAGAAGGTGAGAAATCACCCCCTGGGGGGGTGGCCACACCACAACCCCTTCTCCTCCATTCTGCTCTCTGGATTTTGGGCACGTATGCACACGCACCCTGCGCGAGTTTAAACCACGGGGTCCGGGACTCGAACCATGGTCGACTACATGAGAGTCCAGCAACATAGCCATTATGCCAACTGCTGGTCCCATAAATAATTCTTTATTAAATAAAAGAAAAGCTTAAGAAAAAGAATTATTTATTTTATTTATTATTATTTCTTAATTTGAAGAGAGAGAGAGGGAAAGTGAGAAAGCAAGCTGCCAGGTCCAGGACTTGAACCATGGTCAGTCATGTGGGAATCCAATACCTTAATTACTACACCACTTGCCACCCCCTGAGAAAGCTTTCTGAGGAAATCACATTTACACCGAAGGCACAAAGTAGGATGTAGCCAGTGAAGGATGAGACTATGGAGCCATGAGAGTGGAGGGATGCAAATTAGGAAGAGGTCTCTATGCAGCCAGAAGAGCAGGTGCCAATGGTTAGTCATCAAGGACTTTTTCTAAAAGTCAGGGAGTCAGATATCAGAACCACATTCTTTGAGATTTCCATGGCAGCAACAAGGTTCATGACAGACAACAGAGGCAGTATGAGGAATGACAAAGCTGTCAAAGAGTTAGTGGGGACTGAATTCTCAAAGTTTCCTGAGAAATGATGATTTGTGCTGGGTATAAGGGTGAAAATGATTTTGCCTGGCTCTCTGGAGAAAAGTCAAGGAGAGAGAATTGAAAACCATTCATAGGGAGGTTGTAGGAGAGCTGGGGGTGGGGGGAGTTGAGATTCTACAGAGGGAGAGGGAGAGGGAGAGGGAGAGAAGGAAAGAGTAAAGAGACTTTAGGAAGGGATAAAATTCAGAGGCTGGCAATGCAGAGCAGATGTCTTAAACAGGACTTATTTACTGGGTGAGTCACCAACATCTGTAAGCCAGGAGATTTCACCTCTGAATGTGGGTTTCTGTATTCTTTCCAAAGAAAGGAGGACCTAGTAATGATGGCCCATTCCTTAGTGGCAAAATGGCCTGAAGCTGCCTCTGGAGGGGGAGCATCATTTATTCCTAGTTGACAACAATCCCTCCCACAGCCTCACTTCACTTGAGTAGATCTAGCCAGTACAGATTGGTTGTCAGAGGGAGTTCTTTTCTTTCTTTTTTTTTTGGAGCGGTTTCTTTTTTGCTATAGGGCGTTAGGGCGTGTGCGCTTGCCAGCCAGACAGAGAGAGACAGAGAGACAGAAAGTGAGAAATCACCCCCCAGGGGGGATGGCCACGCCACAGTCCCTTTTCTTCCATCCTCCCCTGGGATCTTTGGCACGCATGCACATGCGCCTGGCATGAGTTTTAAGCCACTGGATCCGGGACGTGAACCGCGATCGACTATGTGGGAGTCCAGCGACATAGCCATTACACTAACTGCTGGTTCCAGACGGAGTTATTTTGAAAGCATGTTCTAAATAAAACATTAACTTAAAAATCACAGGATTAGGGGCTGGCAGGTGGTATGGTGGTTAAGGGTGTTGGATTCCCACATGGCTGACCACGGTTCAAATCTCGGACCTGGCTGCTTGCTTTCTCACTTTCCCTTTCTCACCCTCTCTCTCTCTGTCTTTGTCTGGTTGAATTAAGAAAAAGAAAAAGAATAACAAATGGAATTAAATAAATCTTTTAAAAAAATCACAGGAGTCATAGCATTTTGAGGGCATCAGTAGACTTATTTACAGTGATCTTACCAATTCTCTCTATTCTATCTTTCCTGAAAAAGGGACAACTTTTTATAAATAACACTAGAAAATAAGGCAGGTGAATTTATATCAGTTACCTGCATGCTGTGTGTCTGCTCAGAAAGACTGCCACCTTGCCTTTCTTATAAAAGTTATTTTCTTTGAAGGTACTCTTAGGTGGCTTTAAATAGTGGTCTACAATTATGTGTAGCCTTTTCCTTCCCAGAGCTTTTGGTCTTCACTCTCTGAGACCTTAACCCAGAAGACAGATCAGGGCCCAGAAAAAGATCTGACAGTTATCTGCATAGCACCGACAGTTGAAGCCACGCAGGACAATGTGTTGATCCAGAGTCAGAGAAAGTAAAAAGAGAATGAGAAGAGGGCTGAGGACAGAACTACGGGATATGACTGCTCTGCACAAAGTCCAAAGCAGACTTCTAGTAGTGAGTGCCTGGACACAAAGGAGTGGTGTCACAACAGAGCTGGGAGCTGGATGGGAGTGGCTATGAAACTGAAGGGGATGCTTTTCCAGGCAGCATAGGAAAAACTTGTACTAGTTAGAGGATCTGGAAAGAATGACAACTTTTTGTTTAAATTTGCCATAGGGGATGTATACTTGCCAGAGAGAGAGAGAGAGAGAGAGAGAGAGAGAGAGAGAGAGAGAGGATTCCCATAGGGAATGGTCACAGCAATCCCTTCTCCTCCCTTTCTCCCTCCTTTTGGAATTTTGGGCACACATATACATGTGCCTGGTGTGTTTTTCAAGCTGCCAGCTCTGAAATTTTACCACCCAACTGGCCACATGGGATCCAACCACCTTAACCACTATGCCATCTACTGGCCTGGAATTGTAACTTTTAATTGTTGCACAAAGTATAGGTTAGATTATTTAGATTTTTTTCTATTATGTTGGGTCTTCAGAAAAGTCATGACACATTTTTGCATAGAAAAATATGTCATGCCTTTTTTTTTGAGAGAAATTTTTGCTATAGGGTGCATCTGCTCACCAGAGAGACAGAGAGAGAGAGAGACAGAAAGTGAGAAATCACCCCCCAAGGGGGATGGTCAGGGCATAATCCTTTCTCCTTCAGTATCCTCCTGGGATTTTGGGTGGGCATGCACGCATGCCTGGAATGAGTTTTTTAAAAATTTATTTATTTAAAAATTTTTTTTTATATAGATTCAATCATATTGTTTAGCTTACAAAGTGAACATTTCAATATGTGAACATTTCTCCCCAGTCCAATTGATCAAAATATCTTCAACCGATAACACCACACCTCCCCATCCCCTCAATGCTCTGCCTCCGTATCCCTCCTCCAAATGTCCTTCCCTAGGCCCCACTCCTCCACACACACTCCAGGACTTAAACTGCAATCAACTACAGGAGAATCCAACGATGTAACCGTTAGGCCATCTGCTTGTCCCCTATGACTTTTTAAAAAAATTAAAACATTTATTTATTATTGTTATTTTAAATTTGTTATAGAGTACATGCACTCACCAGAGTGAGGGGGGGGAGAGAGAGAGACAGTGAGAAAGCAAACTGCCAGGTTCGGAACTTAAGCTGCAGTTAATTATGTGGGAGTCCACGGCTTCAACCACCATGCCACCTGCTGGGCCCCATTATGACTTTTTTTGGAGCGGTTTTTGCTATAGGGCGCGTGTGCTCTCCAGAAAGACAGAGAGAGACAGAGAGACAGAACGTGAGAAATGTCCCCCTGGGGGGATGGCCACACCGCAATCCCTTCTCCATTCTCCTTTCAGGAACTTGGGAATGCATGCACAATCACCCAGCATGAGTTTAAGCCACCAGGTCTGAGACTCGAACCGCGATCAACTACGTGGGAGTCCAGCAACATAGCCATTACGACAACTGTTGGTCCCTCCCATTATGACTTTTCTGATGACCCAATAGTAGCATAGGTCCTACATTGTATTGTGACTGCCTGTTAATTTACATGTACAATGACAAGAAGAAAAGATTTATAGACCTTTCTTTTTAGTTTTATACTTTTTTTTTCTTTTTTCTTTTTCCTATCTGATGCATAAACTTGCTGGAAGGGGGCTGGGGTGGGAGAGGGTGAAAAAACACTCCCCATGAGGGATGGCCATGCTGCAATCCCTTCTCCTCTCTTCTCTTGTGGGGATTTGGGGTAGCATAGGTCCTACATTGTATTGTGACTGCCTGTTAATTTACATGTACAATGACAAGAAGAAAAGATTTATAGACCTTTTTAGTTTGTTTTATACTTTTTTTTTTTTCTTTTTTCTTTTTGCTATCTGATGCATAAACTTGCTGGAAGGGGTCTGGGGTGGGAGAGGGTAAAAAAACACTCCCCATGAGGGATGGCCATGCTGCAATCCCTTCTCCTCTCTTCTCTTGTGGGGATTTGGGGTATGTATGCTCATGCACCCAGCGTGTTTTTCAAGCTGGTGGGTCTGAGACTCACACCACATAACTGGCCATGTGGAAATCAGCCACTTTAACCACCATGCCACCAGCTGGCCCTATACTTTTATTTTAAACCAGTAAGTATAAGACTGTGTTGTCCTGAATACCTTATAATAGTTTGTTGAGTTGCCCACGAATACAAACCCCAGACGTTTGACCGGTGATGATGGTGTACTGTTGTCTAAGGACTCAGTGACTTACCTGCTGCAGCCTCTTTGTTTGGAAATAACTTGTTGTCAACTGCCACACTGATGTCATAGAACACCTCATCCTCATCACGGTCTGCATCAAACTGGGGAAATAAGGACAGAAAAGTTTGGAACATGAGAATGCATAAACTAGTTAATTCTAAAACAAAATGATCATGCATTACATGACTGTATCTCTGATGAAGCTGGGCAATAGGAATTTAAGCATGACATACCTTCAATCAGATATGTAGAGGGTCCTAAAGCCCAGACCACATATCAAACAGAAAAGAGTTTTAGGGAGTAAACCTCCAGTTATTTGTGGTTAAGAAAAATGTATAGCATTTTCTTAATTTATAAAGCGAGTTTAAAAGAAAAAAACAAACCTGAAATTTACCTGTGGATTTCTAACTTAGTTTTTCTAATAAAAATACCCAAAACACATGAAGGGGCCTGCAGGTGGTGTGATGGCCGAGGCACTGGACTCCTACATGGGTGACTGTGGTACGAATTCCAGACCTGGTAGCTTGAAATCACACTGGGTGTGTGTGAGTGCATGCCCAAAATCCTGAAAGGAGAATGAGGAGAAGAGATTGCAGTGTGGCCGTCCCCTCCTAGGGGGTGATTTCTCACTTTCCCTCTCTCTGTCTCTCTCTGGCAAGCACACATGCCCTATGGCAAGAACCAAAACCAAAACTAAACAAAAACATGAAAATATATAGTTCTAAACAACAGGGGAAACTTAGGTTCTAATTTACTGTTAAAGAAAAAAAAAGGAGCTTGGATAGTGACACAGCTGTAAAACATGATGCTCTGTGAGGCAGACCCACATGGTAAGATTACTGGTTTGCATCCAGAGACCTCCCTGAGGACCCTGGGAACATGCCCATGATCTGGGGCTGGCTGAAGCTAGGTGTGGGTCATAGCATCAACATGCTGCTGAGGGTGCTCTGTCTCTCTATCTCTCACTCATGGAGAAAATAAATAAAACAAACTTTAAAAGGAAAAAACCGAAGGACTCCCAAACTGAATCATAGAGACTATCTTAGATAGTACACCATAGAGGTAGTCTTGGATACAACAGATTTTGCTGTAACAAAACCACAGATTTAAACATTTATCTTACCATTCTCTAAAATGTACAAAAGTAAAAATATCTAAAAATAACATTTAGTTATATTTGGGAATTATCTATTTTCCAAGTTGTTCAATGCTTTGTCAGCATATTTTGTGTCTTTAGTTTTTAAAAATAGTTTTACTGAGTTATAATTGATATGATAATCTTCACATACTTAAAATATACAAATGATAAATTTTGACATATATACATACATATATATATCCCTATAAAACCATCATAAAAATAAAAATATTGGATATGTCTATCACCCTCCAAAGTTTCCTCATTGATCTTTTTCTGTAATTATAGATATTTTGCACTTTCTAGTATGCAATCTTTTTGTTTCTAATACAGATTTTTTTTGGGGGGAGAGGTTTTTGTTACAGGGTGCGTGCGCTCGCCAGAGAGATAGAGAGAGATAGAAAGTGAGAAATCACCCCCCAGGGGGGATGGCCATGCCGCAATCCCTTCTCCTCCATTCTACTCTCAGGATCTTGGGCACGCACGCACACGCACATGAAGCGGGTCCAGGACTTGAACCGCAGTCGACTACATGGGAGTTCAGCGACATAGCCATTATGCTAACTGCTGGTCCCTCTAATATAGATTTTTGTTTCACTCAGCACAATAATTTCGAGATTCACCAATACACATTTTTTCAAGTTACAATAATGGGTTTATTATAAATTAACCACATTGTAAGCAAGAAACACCTGTAAATAGTTTTGAGTATGATATTTCTGCTATTTATTGTGATTTCTGGTTTACATATAATCAGTATTCATCTTTGTGAGTTACACTATGCTTTTTCAAGGCATGCATATAGTGTGTAATAATTAGATCAAGGATATGTAGACCTAATATCCCTCTTATTTGACATTGAACATGACATTATGTTGTGCACACTTGATGATAGTTCTACTAGTTTTTTTTTTTAAGTATACATTGAATTGTCAATGACTTTTTTACTCTGCTGTGGTACACTGTTCCATAACCTTCTGATTTGTTACCATGCAGTCTTACGTCTTTTAATAATTTTTTCCTCAACTTCCCCACCTACCCCCATTTGGAGTTCTGGCATCTGTCGTTACTCTCTCTGCTTCTGCATCATCGAGTCACTCCATATTGATCAGAGAGTGCAGGCATTTGGTGTATGGTTAGTGGAGACATACAGCATTTGTCTTTCATAGCCTGGCTTATTTCTCTTAGGTTATATCATATCTATCTATCGTGTATCTAAGGATCTAAAGATCTATTATATATATATGTGTGAGTGTGTGTGCGTGTGTGTGTATAAAGTTTAAAAAATACTGAAATAAAATAACTTACACACACACATATATGATATATCTTCTAGGTTCATGTACATTGTGTCAAATGATAAGATATCATTGTTCTTTATGTCTGAGTAGCACTCCATTGTGTATATGTGCCACATTTTCTTAATCCATTCATCAGTTCTTAGGCAAGTGAGTTGATTCCATGTTTTAGTTATGGTGAATATCGCCACGCCAGGTACTCTCTCTAATCCTTTTCGTAGCTTCTTTCCTCTGCATCAGGTCATTTCCTCACACACTGATTAGTAAGTACTCTGCTAAATACTGGAGGGGGCCCTCTGCATACCTCAGGAATTCTCTGTACATCTCTTTCATATCTGATGCTTTTGTCCTGCAAACTTGGATTCCTTGGACTCTCAGTTCTAGCTTCTTAACTCACAGGGCCCTCAAGTCTCCACAGGATTTCTTTCCCTTGTACTGTAGCCTGGAAATTCTCCAGCAATCTAGCTTAGGCAGTCATAAAGCTTACTTCATTTGTTCCCTTTCTCTCAGGGGGCACTTCATTGCTTGACATCCAGTGTCTTGAAACTATTATTTTTTAAAATGGTTTCACAAGGAAGAGAAAATATAGTCTCCCTTTTTCCATCTTGGCTAGGAATGGAATTTCAGTTCTTTAACTTTCAATCTCAATTACTATCATCATGAAGACATTTCAGATTTAACTAATTTTTTTTATATTTTCTTAATGAAGTGTTTCATTATTTCTAGTTAAGGAAATTTGGGGAACCTACATTCGGAAGTTACTTTCTTATCTCTCCTGACACAGAGCACAAAGAACATCTGCAGAATGTTTCAAAGTGCTTTTGCTATGTCCTATCCACCCATGGGGAAGGGCAGGGAGATAGTCTTACTTTTATTTTACAGGTGAGGGAATATACCCAGAGATATTATGACTGTCAAGTCACACAGCTAATAAAGCAGAAGCTCTAGGACTTGAATTTGCGATGACTGACTCTTTGCATTTACCAGGTGGCATGTATATGATCATTACAGTGAGAAAAATAAAGCCCCACTACTCATTCCAGTAGGTGCTAATACAACCCCTTTGTCTAAAAGCAAGGGGGAAAGGCAGGTGGTGGTTAGAGCAGATACAAGGTGGCCACAAAGGAACAATTAATTCCATCTCAGTGCCCTGCTTTTCACACCCATGTACTGTGGTTCCTTGGTTCTTTCAAGATATCTGTTAGCTACAGTCAGTATGGGGTAACGTCTATTAGGAGGGGTTTCGTTTCTATGTTTTCATTGATTTTTGAGGGATGGGTGGCAGCATTCTCATTTTGTAAATAAAGTACTGTAAACTTATGTCTTATCCAGGATTCTCTAGAAAATGGGACAAAAGCAAAACTTATGAGTTAACATTTTACTGGGGTGTGTTGGGGAGCACATGTGGAACCCTAGGGTAGGAAACGTGAGGAAAAAAGGGAAGTGAGGCAATGAAGGAAGGACACATGCTTCACAAGGAAACACAGCTGGTAGCTTGGTCCTTGGAAAGGCTAAACGGAACTCTTCCATTTCAGAACAGTCTGGTATGGAGAGGAAGGGAAAAGTAAGTCATATGCTGGGTTCTTTCAGTCTTTTATTTTGAGAGAGATTTTTGCTATAGGGCATGTGCTCTTGCGAGAGAGAGAGAGAGAGAGAGAGAGAGAGAGACAGACAGACAGGGAGACAGTAAGTGAGAAATCACCTCCCAAGGGGGACGGCCACAGCGCATTCCCTTCTCCTCCATTCTCCCCTTGAGGCTTTGGGCACACACTCACACGAACATGGCATGAGTTTGAAGCCACCGGGTCCGAGATTCAAACTTTGGTCAACTACATAGGAGTCCAGCAACATTATCATTACTCCACCTGCTGGCCTCCAGTCTCTTTCATTGGTTTAAGTTTACTCTATGAAGAGTTGAGCCCTCCCTCTTCTTAGTTGTGTTGCTTAGCCTCTGGGCAGTCACTGGGAAGCCAGACCCTATGCTACAGGGAGTGGCACAGCATTCGAAACTAGGCTTGCTGAAAGGAGCCTAAGTTTTCATAGGTCTGGTCTGGTTGGCTCTGGGAGCTGGCTCTGTAGTGACCTAGCCCACAACCCTGAAGAGACTGGCAGAGCCATCAGCAATGTTAGCATATGTGGTATGGGCTGGACAGTGGTGGAAAGGATTTTCCATTAAAGGAGCCGTCAAGGCCAAATGATTCAGGGGAGGCTCCTGAACCGAGTTCAGAGAGCTTACAACTTAGCTAGGCTTGAAGCGCTTGACTTGAATTTCTGTTTTCCCCTGCACAGCTGACTTTGAGAAACTTATTTCTTAGCATGTATATACTGCAGGTGATGATATCTCACCTTAAGGGATTAGTTGTGAGGACCAAAGAGATGGTCAATTTAACACATCAGCATAGAGACCGACACAAAATGTAGTCTTTTTTCTTCTTTTTGAATGTTAGGGCTGAGGGAATATGTCCTATAGGTCATTGCTTCTGTATTACATGTGAGCGTGCACACACTCACATACTCTCTCATTCTCTCTTTTTTTAAACTTGGAAGTGTAGAGTAAGAAATATAAAGTTTGAGACTTTTTAGGAGAGCTTATATGCTCCAACTGATTTGAATAAGGATATTTTCAGTTCAGCAAAGGCTAAAGTATTGATCACTCAATCCAAGA